TTTTACTACTTCAGGGGCTTTTTCACTAGGAGGCAGCCCAAGAACAACAATTAGGTGACCAAACGGTGGCATAGTCACTATGCAGCGCCAGTGATAGCCATCTTCCCACAGGATTGGGACTGAACAAATGCCAAGGGATGGCCTACAAGTTTACAGTTTATTGCAAGTTCTGTGCCTCACTGGCATATTTCTCACAATAGATTTTCACCAAGGACCATATTCTAGCTCTTCCACCTCTTGGAGAGAACCCTGCCCTATTCAGATGTTCCTGTTATCATTTAGTGGTAATATTTGCAGAAATAACAAGATGTGTGGAATAAGGAAACAAAGACAAACTTCCTCCTTTGCAAGTAAATGGCATGTACCATGTAGATATACTCTCCTGTGTGAGGAACACAATATCTAGAACACTCTGTGTACATACAGAGAAGGCTCAGTCAGTGGTATGTTCACAAGACAGCAAAAAGAGACACCGCTCTTCTAAAATACTGCTGTGTACATGTAAGAAAGTCTGCTCCCTGCAAATAAATAATATCTTTGTCGGACACCTTAAGTGTAATTTTGTAAAGCAGCCTTGGTAATGCAAGCTAGAATCACTTGACTACACTGTACTTTTCAAAGTGCAAATTCTACAGTTCTCTCAAAGCTGCCCATCTCTTCACCCACCAGCCCTCATCTAGGCAAAGCAAAGGATGTCTAGAAATGCATGGGCTTGTTGCCAGTGCAACAATACATTGGAGCAATAACATAACAATGCAGGCCTTTCACAATTCAGATGTGGCTGAAGACAGTGAGCAAGTGAGGGAGGACAGTATAGGGCCCCTGCCACACGGCAAGGGATAAGTCGCTCAAAGCGCGGCTTTTAAAAGCCGCGCCAAAGTTGAGACGCCGCAGCGGGATCCCACGGATCCCCTGGGCCGCGGCGCCTTTTCTCCCCGGCACGATCAGATGCCAGGGAGAAAACACAGTTCAGACAGTGAGCCTGCCGAACTGCGCATGTCGGAGCATGCGCAGTTCGGCTAGGAACCGGGGATGCGCCGGCGCAAAGACGCGCCGGCGAATCCGACGGCCCGGCTTGCGGCACCTCGTCGAGATGAACCACCTAGGTAGGTGGTTCTAAGTTGATGCGCTGTTTTGGGCAGAAGGGCCGGTTCGGGGACGGAAGCACTACGCTTCCCAGATGTTGTGGTGGGATTGCGCCCGTTTGCTGCATCCCCGAACCGTCCTTCTACCGGCCCAAATTCATCCGTGTGGACGGGGCCTAGGCCACCCTAAGCAAAATCCTAGCCTTTTTGACAGGATCAGACCCTTCCTTGTTAAAGTTCATTTGCAAAAATATGAGTAATGTCGACAAAAGGAACTCAAAGCCTTTTTTTAAGCTGATTTTTAAATCAAATTTAAAAAACAAATCAAAATGTACTTTTTTGTTGCTACCTTAGCAATATTAAGAAACAATGCACTGGAAAATAAACAAGGTTAGAAATCAATCTTTTGCTGTTGGCTCCAATTTCTAACATGCTCAGCAAATACCATCAAAATGCCCTTCAACTCTGCAGAATGTAAGCATGTTTCTGTTGCAGAAGAAACAAGAGCCAGCGAAATAACACATCAGCCATTCTTAGCAATGTCAAATAGCAAGAGAAGCAGCAGCAACCATTTTTTGTGCTTTTCAAGGGGATGTGTCCCAGAAAGCTATTCACCTCGACTCTGCTGCCTGTTGACCATCCCTCCCAGCGTCCATCGCCGGTCCAGACGCCTCAGGTGAGCCTTGCGTCTCTTAGAAACTAGGTTGGAAATGGATGAGAACATAAAAGAGGGAAGAAGGGAAAAAATGATGGATGGGCAAAGAACAAAAACCCAACAAAAAACATGATAATTACAAGGACGGGCCTTGGGTTAATATGGATGGGATGCAATAACACACTGGGATTAGTTTATGAGATGCAATAAATTGGTTAAATCCTTGAGGCCCAGGCACACAAACATGTATGTTCCTTGCTGCATTTTGTGAACTTCAGTACACCATATCAGTAAAAGCATCAGAGTCCGTACAAATAACAAAAATATCATGGTGTCTTCACCTATACCTTATGCTCTCAGGCCAGGAAAGATCTTAAGGATGAGATTTATGTCACAGGAACATTCATGGCTTTTGCAAAGACTGCAGTCCATATGATGGCTGAGGTTGCGAGACAGTTCAAAGCTGCACCATACAGGCTGCATTTTTCACAAGGCCTCTACTTGCCAATACACACAAATGACACTGCTAGATTGCTATTACCAAGAGGCCTCCACAAAAAACGGTAGCATAAGTGGAAGGAAGTTTACTGCAATCATGTAAGCTCCATTTTTGTGTGTGTAGTGGGAGACCCACACAGTCTGGAAATTCTTCAGAAATCAAGCTTCTCAAATAAAAAGTGAGTATTCAGCCTTCTAGAATGTCTGCAAGATGTGTCTAAATTTGTTATCTATTATGCTAATATATGGTTAGCTTGGAAGCTACGGCAAGCACATCTTGTGCTAAACAATTAATTGTCCAACAACTTTTTAAAAAGTCCAAAGTCCATGAATTTCATCTGTTGTATCAAAATTGACGATTAGTCTCATATTCTGAACAGTGGTTATTCATAACAGACTATAAATAAATAACAAAAAGGAGGATTTATGACTATGAGATTGTTAAGATAACTGTGCACTGAGGACACTGTTTTTATGTCTAAGGGTACATTCCTTTCCCCAGTTATATTCATAAAACAACAACAACTGAATCTAACAGTCTTTCAGTTCATGTGGTCATTCACGAGTTGCAGAACAGATTCTATGACATGACCCAATATGACAAGACCTTTGGCTGACACTGTTGCTAGTTTCTTCTCCCAGTAAAAGAAGTGAAAGGATTTTCACACAAAGAGTGTGCGCTTGTATGAGCATGCTAAAAAGCCTGGGTTCCCCTCAGTTATTCCAAATCCAATCAGTAGGTTAAAGCACTGGCTGCCTTTAATATAAGGCTCTCTTGCCACCTGCCTGAAATGCAGCTGACCTTAATGCAGAGCTCTTGGGATAGTACAGGGAGTTAGAACAGTTGTCAAGGGGATCTAGAAACTGGACTGGAGGGCCAAACCCCCAGAGGTCACTTTTTACCACAGATACTGAAAACCTCTTGTCCCTCTAGTCCAAGTCCTTTCACAGATTCAAATTCTCTTCTCACCAAGAACTACCAGTCCCCTGTTACTGGTCTCAGCATCTCTGGCCTACTTTCCAAAATCCTTTAATCTACCAGAACAGTTGCTCCTTCTCTCTGCAAAGATACCCTTTTCTGTCAACCAGGAAACTTCCTCTGTTGGCCACAAGTCACATTTCCTCTCCTTGCCTGACAAACTGCAGATCACATTATCACGTTGCACAGCTAGCTTAAATGGAAGAGGGGAAAAGCCGATTCGGTACTCAAGTCACAGTGGTGGATGGTTTGTTCCCTTTGCCCTGAAAGGGGCATTAGTTCAGTCATTCACATGGAATGCCACAAGCTGCACTGAAAACCACAAAAGGGACTGACAAGGCCCCCAGCCCATATGTTTGGCTGTCTTGGTTTCCCACCTTTCCTTTGACTGGTGTTCACTACATTAGAGAACCACACAGGAAGAGCTACAGGCTTCCCCTCATATAGGAGAGAAATTTGCTGGGAGGGGCCTGAGGATAGAGGGGATGGTTTGTGACAACTGAGCGTGCTCAGGACTTGAACTTTCAACATTCTTCTTAAACAACTGCATTAGCTTATTAGAGTAGGGCTGCTTCAAGTCCTAAGAAACGCTGCATTTCACAGGATGTTTATATGCATTCCACCAGCATTATCATACTAGCTTGTTGATATGAGCTTTTATCTGGTTTAAGAACAATGAAGAGTACTGTACTGTCCCTTCTCGCCCAGGTGGAAGGGATTCCTTAAGTTGTATACGTGTCTGTGTTTGAACAGTATCTTCTGCGCACAGTTATTTTTATGATTTAACTGACCTACTAAAGTGAGTGAATAGTATCTTCTGTGCACAGTTATTTTTATGATTTAACTGACTTACTGAAGCAACTTTCATTGGATGGAATATGATGATTAGAAAGTTTAGACTACAGGGAGAAAGCCCTAAAACTAACAACTACTGGAGATAGGCTATATGTAGGTTTTGATGACAAAGTGACTTGGAAGCTGGGGCAAAACTAGAATGGCAGTTCCTGCAACAGAACAGCATTTTTTGTTTGCTGAAGATGGGGCAGTGATGTCTGCTAATTCCCCCACATATTGCAGACCCACACTTTGTTCCCCAGGCTGTTTTTAGGAGGTCTACTACTCCTAGGGAAACATTTTTAGGGGACTTAGTATAATACAGCAAGAAAAGGGAAGTGGGAAAGTCTTGCTTTGCGAGCTCCACATATTGTTGGATACATGCCAGTTTCAACAATGTAGTGCAGTATTTCCAATGTCTTATGTATATCAGGGTGGAAGGAATTTGAAGTGAAGTGAAGAAGGCAGAAGTTTGTAGATCGTCTAAGCTTTTCTCTCTCCCTCTCCTTCTATAAAAGTTGTACAAGGAATATCTACAGGTTCAAGAGAAATGGGGGGAAGGAGGGGGAAATGCAGAGTTGGCTTCTTATAAAAGAGCATAGATGTACTGTACAGCAAACATAAGATGCTAGAAAGTGTACACTACCATTATCAAACAGAATTATCATTACCTTGTTTTTCAACTGAGTTTTACAATCACACACTTTAAGACAGAACATTAAATTTACTCCTATAGGCTCTACCAGGCTCCTTACATGGCACACCATTGGTGGTAGTTACAAGGCTTTACAGCCTTCCAAAATTGTGCAAAATAGTTATTGCTGAATACCAGGCAAGCCTGTGTGCTGAACTTTAATATATGAATGCTAGTTTGTATAAAGGTCAAAATGGATCTTTAACAAAGCCTTTTTCTAACAAGTTAACCAGAAACTTCTCTTGGTATTCTTACCTTCCCCTCCCTTCGACATGTTAATTTCAGAATCATCTCTAATTCCACTTTGGGATTCCAGGTACGTGGCAGGGACCCAGCCTTGCTCTTCTGATGTGCTTACAAACCACCAACCTGTGAGAAGAATAAGCCAGGAACAGTTAGTGGGGTGGGGGGTGAAACTATTTCTCCAGCCCTATCCTAACTCTCTAAAACTGGTGTTTCTTTGCCATCAGATATCCTAAGCGGCATTTTGCTACTTTAAACCCCCAACCATCATATCACCTATGAAAGATAAAAATATACAAAAATTCTGTGTAGGTTAGAGCTCAGCTGTCACAACTAGGACACCACCTAACATCCCGCCAGTTTCTCTGAGTTGATCAGTTTTCTTCATTGACAACAGAAATCTATGTGATTAGACATGTCTGCAGAGGAACCCAGGGGAAATCCCCACTTCATTTTTTCTTTTACAAGAGGAAAGTAATCAGTGTGGAATGAACTCTCTACACAAGCCTGTAAAACTGTCCACATTCAGGAGTAAATTTTGGGAGCTGGTTCTGTAGATCAGCTAAGATAAGATGCTGATTGTCCTCAGAAAACTTTTTATTTCCTTCCTGGCCAAGAAGAAACTGCTTGAATTCCTTATTTTACATAAAGTACACTTTACTGCTGAAGGTAAAGTGAAAATAGGTATGTAAAGCCGAGTGACGGCATAGGCACAAGAATATATGTATAATAATATGTATTGCTTGGTTTTTAATGTTCTGGTTTTATTGGTTTTATGTATGGGCTCCTGCCCCTTGTAAGCCGCCCTGAGCCCACTTGCGGGGTAGGGCGGGATAAAAATATTTAAATAAATAAATAAATAAATAAATATATAGTACAACCACTGAAACAACATCATACACCTGATTATACAGGTACTCCATATAACTCAACTTACTTTGTGTTTACTTAAATATATCAGTCTCCCCCAATATTTTGGAATTCCTCTAGAGGATTCAGTTTGAAGCAGATGAAAATAAGATATGGATTCAAATATTTTCATTCACATTTTCACATCAAATAATTTGTCAAAAGCTTCCCCCCCAAAAAAAATTCTGTGACAATGCTCTCACCTAACATTTTTTTAAAAATTCATTAAGAGTCTGCTGTTCTCCCTCATGGGGACTCAGGGCAATTTACATCATTCTCCTCTGCTTCTTTTTATCCCCACAACAGCCCTGAGAGGTAGGTTAGGCTAGGAGTGTATGACTAGTCCAAGGTCACCCAAGCAAGCTTACATGACAGAATGGGGATCTGAACCTCGGTCTCTCAGATCATAATATGACACCTTAACCTCTGCACTGGCTCCCAAATATGCATATGTTTATGGAAGTATCGATTACTTCCTCTCCAACACTTCCAAAGACTGCTGGTCATTTAGAACTGTACTAATTAATAGGCAAGTGCTTTCTTGCATCTTTCCCATCTGCAGAATCCAGCTGACCCCAAGAGTTCTCATCCTATATTGACATTGATATTTAGCATCATATTTAATATAGCATGCATTACTAAATGCTTCCTTCTGTATTTGGACAATGTATACAACCTATTACAAGGAGTTAAACCCAATTTAGTAAATGCTTGTCTTTAAAAAAGAAAAATAGCTTTATGAATCCTACAGTATAAAAACTCTTAAGAGATTTCCCATTCAGCTTTAGTGTAGGTGAATAATTTATCACTTTTATTTAAAAGCCAGGGGGGAAAATAATCTTCCTGGGGTGGTAGAACCGTTCACTGCCAAGAAGGATTGTCAGTGAACTGTTTAACTACCAGTAACAATGTGATCGTAGAGGTGGTCTAATGAAACTAACTACGAATAAAACTTTCATTTCCTGCCAACCAAACCTCTCTCAAAAATTAATCGTATTCTGTTACCCTGGGCACTAGATGATAAGTTGTCCATTTAAGCAGGACACAGTGAGGCCACAGGGGTCTCTTCTTTTGCCAAGAGGAGTGATACACTTCGGCTTCCCAGAAGCAAAATTCAGTGGCATGCTTTATGCATATCAGACCATGGTTTATTATTATGAGAATGAGTCGGCAAGATCCTCATGCACTCACCCTTCCATTGATGTAGTTCTACAATGAAAGCCTTACACTTTTACAACAAAGCTCCATTTGTTACTACATCTGAGCCACAAACTAGGGTTTTCTCGCTTCTTTACAAACCTGGAATCAAAATGCTGGTTTAATCCTGGTTCAAAGGCAAGCCATAGTTTGTGGTTCAAATAAGGAACAGCCATGTACAAGGGGGGAAAGTGTGTGAGTGCAATAATCCCTTGTGTTTATTCATATAACAAAAAAGCTGTCATTCTATATAAAGAATGCCAGTGATTCTCTAATTCTCCAACTGAAAATACTCAAGTCCATAAGCATGTGTGTGTGAGTACTAAATAATCTTAGAGATTCAAAGTCCAATGGCTATGCACAACCCTGGACTTACTTTGGGGGCATTTTTGTGGCGGGAGGGTGGGGCTTAGAAGCAGGCTTCTGTGCCTAGGCAGCATTGCACTGCATGGGTGTGGCTGCTGGGAATCCCTGCAGCATCAGGCTGGTTAGCCAACGGCTGGCTGCCTCATTGGCCTGTGGGAGCAGGCTGGGTAGGAAGCCCTGGCTCAGCGGCTTTCCCTTGGTTTGCCCCTTCCCCTCTTATGTCCATGTGGATGCTGGGCTCCCCCCAGATCAGCTTCATCCATCCCTCCCACCCTCCCCTGTTTGCAGGTTTTGTTGCATGGTTATGATCCTTGTTCTTGTAATTCTTGTTTTTCCTTAACCTGTCATAGCAGTGGACAGGATTCATGGTGCGTGTGTGGGGTGGAGGCTGTGCCTCTGTGCAGGTCTTGGGGGTGGAGCCAGGCAGTGGCATTCTAACCTTGGGGTCTGTCACTTGGCTCCACTCACAGGTTGAAGGAAACCACACAAAGGCTTGCACCCATGTGGGACCACTGGACTCGTCTACCCCCAGGAAGTGGGCTGGGGAAGGGTTTCATTGGCCAGCAGGCAGGTTACACAATGCCTGGATGCGGGGGTCATTTCCTGCGGGAGCTCACAGGAGCAGAGCTCCGGCAGTAAGGACCCCAGGGGGCGGGCACATGCAACAAGCCCCACCCCCTGCTCCCAGCAGCCCTCAGTGAGGCCACGAGGAGCAAGAAGCAGCCAGGTAAGTTGCAGAGCCTCCCCCCCAGCCCGCCTTCAGGTACAAGCTCTCCCTCCTCTGTGAGGGCAGGTCTGAGCGACCCCCCCCCCAATAGCTAGCAATCCAAAACAGTCCAGTGGAGCCTGAGCGGTGGGTGTTGCCTTCTGACACAGTTCCGGTGATGTCAGGGGGTGTGGAGTTGTGCGAATAAGTTATGCTAATGAGGTCCTGCACCTCTTTTTCTACGAAATGACCCCTGCCTGGATGGTTGCACTATGCCAATGCTCCGGTGTCTGTAATCAATAAAGCTGTGGCCTGTTTTACTCCAACTTGGTTTCTGCATGCTTGTGTTTTCCCACCCTGCTTCCTTTCTTCCTCTTCAACTCCCCTTTGGACTGCAATGGAAAGCTGCTTCTATATGGACACTTTGTTCCACCTTTGCTTCCAAACTGGAGGGTTTTAAAAAAACCAAAGCACTATCCATAACATCTTATCATCCACTTTCCAGGTTTTCCTCTGCTTTGTTCCAGGCTTTCCCAAACATGATTTGCTGCAGTCTTTTTTGAAAGAATGCAGTCCAGGCACTTTTGTTTGCCACCTGGATGGGAAGGTGTGCAATTTCAAAGGTCTCAACCACACTGGTGCCATTCCCCTTACACCAGCCCCTCATGGCCACCATTTTCCCTGCCTCATCATACAAGTTTTTGTTTATTTTAAATTCTGTAGTTATTTCACTGCAATATATAAGGACAAAGATTCAGGCAGATATCCTGATTCCCTGGAAAACAGTGGAGGAGGGAAGCTGGGAAACAGATGGAACAGGGCAGGAATTCATGGGTCAACTGATCATGTGGATGTGCTGTTGCCTCTGCAAATTTCTCTGCATTGGCAAAGGCAATGAAAGCAACACAGAGGATCACAGTCATGTGGATGCAACTGAAGACAGTATCAAACAGGTAAGTATTTTGATTGTTTTGTTTCAGTTAGCAGGAAACAAAACACCCCAGAAGACACCTCCGCTTAGCACCATTTCATCCTGAGACCCAAGAAGTACAGGTTTCTATTTTCTGGTCCAAGAAACTTCACTGCACAATGTTCGCAGTCAGAAAAAAACCCTAAATTTAGTTACACTATCACAGCAGGAGGACAATTCTCTCAATGTGACTTCACTGATGGCATCCAACTGCACAAAATAATAAAAATAAGAAAGCCAACTTGTTTTGAAAAAGCTTCATGTAGACAGCCTGTTGTTGAAAATGAGGAATTGCTAAGTGGCAGAGAAGAAGAGGAGACATGTTGAGCTGAACATGCATTTGTAATTATGGCACAGAAGTAAATAGACCAGAAGCTGATATACATCTGATCTGAATTAGATGGAAATGGTCCTACAGATTCTTCTTCACAAGTAGTGTTCCTATGAGTATTAAAAGGACTTCACTATAAACACTCTAGTAAAACCATGAACTTTGAAGCATGTCATCTCACCCTTTTTATTTTTATGTGCTAGGATTTCACTGGCCATTTTCAAACCCTTATATGGAGACAGAGTTCTCCAGATTAAAGCAGACTCCCCATTTAAAACAAATAATCCAAACTACTGCAGTTATCTTTGGAGGCCCTACTTCACATGTACCCGCTTTCTGAGATTAAACGGGTAGCATCCCAAGAGAGGGCAGAAAGGTGGGATATAAATTTTGTAAAATAAATAAAATAAAATTTAAAATAAATACCACACACACACTAGGCTGTGTCATGTCTATCTAGAGCAGAGGTGCTGAACTCATTTGTTATGAGGGCCGGATTTGACATAAATTGGACTTTGCTGGGCCGGGCCATGTGTGTCATAAAATGTAATGCAAGGCAGCAGAGATATGAACTTCATAAAGGACATAGACAAACACAATTAAAGATATTATAGCAGCTATTCCATTGGAGCCCCACATTAGGAGTG